ACCACTATATAAGGACTTCAACCCCCAAAGCCAAGGGAGAGGAAAAAGGATGGTAACCCCTGCTCTCTAGCTCTCTCATTTCTCTCCAAGCTCTCATTTCACTCCAAGCTCTCTGTAATCAGAATGCTAACTTAGGCATCAGAGAGTCCCTGCCGTGAAAATACCCCCGGGTCCTCTTGATGAAGGGAAATTTGTCCCGACCTCGCGATCACGCGACACGCGGCAAAGGCAAGCAGTTCGGGACAGTAGAGCACCCAAAGCGAACGTCGGAAGCAAGTCCAACTCACTACCGAGCCCGAACTCCAGACCGCTGTACTTAGTCTGAGCTCCTTGATAAAGAGCGAGTTCCCTGTCGAAGGTCCGAGCTCCCTAAAACCTGAGCTCCCCAAGTCCGAGCTCGGTATTAGGAGCCCGAGCTCCGTGAAATCCGAGCTCCCTAAATCCGAGCTCCCTATTAAGGACAAACTCCCTACTGGGATCTCGAGCTCGCTATTAAGAGCGAGCTCCCTACTGAGAATCCGAGCTCCCTGCAAGGAGCACGAACTATACTGGGCCCAAGCCTCGCAGCGCTGACCCGAGCTGACCCGTGGCAGATCGGAACACTCCAAACCGAGCTCAAGGCACCTCGCTCGCCACTCCAACACTTCACTTCCAAAACACCAGGCCCGCCAGACGTACCCGATGCCAAGGACGTCCTTATCCAAGGGCGNGTTATAAAAGGCTTCTACCCCTCCAGGGATGAGGTATGCTAACTTCCGCGCTATCTGGTTATTCTTGGCTTTGAAGGATTATTACTTAAGCTTCGGAGCCCTTACACCAGGTTCTCCCCGGAGTTTCTCTTCTCCTCCCGTTTCAGGTCCCTGTTACTCATTTCGGAGGCAAGATCATCAACAGCTAAGACCGGCCAGATCGTGCATCATCACCTCTGATTCAGTTCTCGCAAGTCGTTCAGCTCCCGCCGCCTACAAAGGAGAGGAAATCACCTCACGCGGAGGGTAGTCGGGTTGCGCTGCACTAGAGAGCACCACCAGGCAGTTTGCCACCATGCAGTTCACCACCAAGGAGTTCGCCACCATGCAATTCGCCACCAAGCAGTTCGCCACCAGGCAGCTCGCCACCAGGCAGTTCGCCACTAGGGAGTTCGCCACCAAGCAGTTCGCCACCAGGCAGTTCATCACCAAATTGCTCTCCACCAGGGAGCTCGCCACCGGGCAGTTCGCCACCAAGTAGCTCATCACCAAGGCACGTCACCACCGGGTCAAACAACAAGGTACTTAGC